GAATGATGCAGGACATCACAACAGCAGCCCACACAGGTGAAATTTGTGTTGGGGGTGGTAGGTGTCCTATGTTGGCATGATAACTTTTGCCAAGTACAATGCAATGAAAGTGCAAGCGTTTGACCCCCTCCTGCCATTCATAGTAGCCTGCGAAACAGACTGTGGAAAAAAAGGAATTTGCTGCCTGCACTGTTCACTGATGTGATGCTGATGTTTTGATTTGCTTGTTGCGCTTTGGTGATTGACTCCTTGGTCTTGGCAGTGTGGCTGCTTTGGATGTTGCTGTTGACATTCTTGTTGTTGTCCTTGTACTCTTAAACTTGGAGGTTGTGGGACAGTGACATTAGCTAAAGCATGATCTACAAACTGTTCCCATTCATCGGATTCATAGAAAATAGGTTGTCTTGAATTGTTAGGAGTTAATTCTGTGTCAGGCTCTTCAGAGGATAAGTTGGATGTTTCTGCATTGGTAGTTGATGACGACGATTTAGTAGGTGTTAGTAAACTGAGATTAAAAGTATCAGCCAGCATGGCTACTTTCTTTAACAGAGGCTTAGTACAGATTGGACAGTTAGAGTTATTTCGAAGGTAACATTCTTGGTGGAAAGTGTGGCAGCAAGCTAGTCTTACAAATTGGTCAGTGTCTTGAGTTACAGCACAGTTGCTGTAGTCGCATAAAATGGCTGGATTTGGATACTGTGGGTTGCTATCCAGATGTTTGTACGAAAGAGGAAGAGACTTTGTATCAACAATTTCATTGAATGTTTGAAGATGGAATTTTTGTCTTTTGTTTTGACTTTGACTGGAAGGGTTGTCTGTGACCTGTGTAACAAAAATAATGTTTCTGTCAAACACAGAAGATAGTTTTAAGGAATATTAAGAATAAGACAGTGATAGTCAAGCTTTAATGATTCCTCCATTAATCTTCATAGTAGAAAAGTATTAATTTTATTTAACTTTATCACATTTTCATTAGGTTTGCCATGTTTTTTTTAGCTGAAGGATAAAATATGAACTGTTAATAATAATTTTTTCACTTCTTTTATTTTGTAATATTGAGAGTTAGCCTTGTTAGTTTGCTGCTTCTTTAAGGTGAGCTTTCATCATCCATTTTCTTCACCTGTGTGCTTGACAGTGTTGGCTTAGGTATTGATGAGGTGACATTTATGTGGCTTATCCGTTGAAATCTAAATAGCTTCGCTTTCATCTATTCAATTCAAACAAGAAGATTTATGTGTAGAGTTACAAAATGATGCAGATACTTACCTTCTTAGACTTTCCAATATTTTGAGCAACATCCTGGAATAATTTCAAAAGCACCTCAGCAACTTTGCCTGTACAAGTTTTAGAAGTTCACATTAAGTGAGGCAAATCAAGACAATACGTATCTATGGCCATGCAAGTTTTTTTTCAGTATAAATTTGTGACCATGGTCTAGAATGACAGCAACCTGTATCTTTGTGTTTTTGTTTTTGTGGGGTTTAAAAAAGGACTATGCAACTCATACACTGTAAAATATCTGCATGTTACCGTGTATCTACCAAATCATTGGTCAAGAGTTTCTAGGAGAGAGTAAGACTATGGAAATTTTTAAATGAAGCTCCATTAATATCTGCAAAATTGGTTTTCAAGAGGCAACACTAGAATATACAAACAGCATTAAATATCTTAAATAATGTTACATTAAAAACAATGAGGAAGCAATTTCATTGTCACTGCCTGCATTAAGATCTAAGACTTCCACTGTCAATGTCATTCTTAAGGTAAAGTTCAAAGTTGGGTTAATGGGTGATTGGTTTTTCTTCAACTTAGTTTTAAACAATGTCTTTTCTGGAATAAATTGGAAATAAGACTAAAGAGAAAGTTGTAGTTGATTAATTTTTTAAAAAATGTATCACTTTTCTTTTGAAAAGAGAATAATAAAGCTAGATACAGTTGTCCCTTGCAGTTGTGAAACACATTACCTGCCACAAGTTTCATGTTTTTTTCCGATTGACCTCTGGTGTATGGCCTCACAAAGGAAGAATGAAATTTCCTAGCAGTGTCAGAAGCAGCCAGAGAAATTGCTGTGTCATGTATCTCATCACCACTGTAATGTGTTGAAATGTGATTTCGTAACAATGAATGCCAGATTTCTACCTTCTTTTCTGTTATTATTGATAGCCATTGCTTTTTAAAGTTATAGTAGGCAGGAAAGTTGATCTTTTGGTGATACAAGTCACTTAACATGGATAGAGTGGATCTGTCATAATGATGTCGCTCCCAGATAATGAAAATAATGGCTAGACGAATCATGACATTTATGTACAGTTCCAGATTACCAGAGCAAAAAATGCTGTCATATTGAAAAAAGACCAGTGGCAAAATTTCTTCAAGTAAATTAACCAGGTACAGAAATTCAATATCTTTGCAGAACTTGAATTTGGCCAGGACTTTATGTCTGATTAACAACCATCCACACAAGGTTCCTGTAATAATGAGGCTTGTTCGAAAAGGGTTTTGGTTTAAGTGGGAAGTCACTGCCAAAAACCTCCTTATAAAGTCTTGCAAAAACTATGTGGTGGCTTTTAATGACATCCTCATTTATATTTAAGCAGACATGAAAAGGTCCTTGTTCTGGAATAAGGGACAAATAAGGGTGTTCTTGGGAACTTGTTTCTGGTAGCTGAGCAATTATTTTTTTTGGTGTAGTACCAGGTTGGCCAATCTCCAGGCAGTGGAATAACAAATAATTTACAGAAATCATGAAGGGAAGAGCAGAATGGAATGTATGGTTAAGTGCAGCCTTGTAATCCTCCATGCTTTTCAGGCCTGCCTCGAATTAAATCTATTAAAACGCAAGTGCTCAGGGTAAGAAGTTCATCTTGTGCCATGCCATTGTATACTCTAGAAATTAAAGTAAAAATATTGTTACTTGTGCACCATGATTGCAATTTAAGACTTTATATAATGCATACATAATGCAGGTCTATTGTAGAGAAAAATAAGTCATTACCTACTGGGTTGCT